AATCCCACTAGTATACAATATAATCTCCACCAACGTAAAAAACTAAATCTAAATAGCACTCCATAATAGCAAAAATAAATGCAGAGGAGTTTCCAAATGAAACAGACATGACATGAATGCAAACCAACATGACACGTTACCCTTCGTAGAAGTATCCATGCTTCTTAGCTTGTGAGACATGGCAGATTCCCAGCGGTAAATGATTTGCCACAAGGGATAATGCATACCACATGGAACTCCTTTTCATTTTATTTATTTAATTTTTTTGCAAGTAAAGATCACATGCCAAAAGGGGGCATACATGGTACACTGCTAGTGCCATATAGTCATCTTGGCATATGAAAGCTTACTCAATATTGTCTCCTATCTTTTTACCCGTCGTTTAAAATAAAATGGCTGAGAATTCATCATCCTCATCTTTGTAGAAGACATAAATCATCCTTGGAACCTAATTATAGTGAGGTCCCATCCCATTCTCATTGGTCATGCCATGTGTTATCATAGGGTATTTAGAGAGCTGTGTGCACTACAAACCTGCCAAATTCTACGCCACCTTGAACAGAAGTCAGTCCTCTACCAACGTCCATGCTCCTCGGGTTCACCCCACCTACAGCCTGCTATTAATCCAACCATAGTAAATTAGGTAGAGCTTGAGAACCCGACAAGTGAAGATGGAAAAACAAAAGATGAAATTTTTAACCTGTGATGCCCATAAATTTGGCGATGGGGGATGATCATAATTATGGGAAAGTCCAAGATGATCCATACTCTGTGTTAAAGTAGTATGCCTATGAGAAACACCTACAGATGTATGCAAACCAAAAGAGGAAGGATCTCCTGCTCTTTCATAGGGATTCATCTCAGTTATTACAGAAGAACTGCTCCTAGTTCCAGCTCCATTTGATATTCTACCGGTAAAGAGGTTATTATCTCGCAATCTACCAGTCACATTATATAAAGCATCTTGTACACTACCCAACTCGCCAGTAATCTGTTAACCACAAAAGCCATTTCTCTTTAGAAAGAAAATAATCTCACTAAAGTCTATGATATCTACATTCTATAATGCATAAAAATTCTCAAAAGCATTTAATGAAAAATATGTAAGATACATGTCAGACAACTGCCAAATGGCTCAATATTGGCAAAAACCCTATGGAAGCAGCCCATAGACAATTTTCCTAGTTTGTGAGCCTGTATTATAAGCACTTTCAGCATTCCCCTTTAACTTGAAGCTCTTTTTACTTTGGTTCTCAAGTGGTATGCTTTACAATTTGGCTTCTTACTACAATTTGGGTATTTTTATTTTATTTTCCAAACTAAGTGAAAACATAAATAGTAAACATGTTTTCTTGAAAGCATGTTTTGTAACCACGCTTTCTATTTTCTTATTTTATTCAAACTTTGACAAAAACGTAATTGCTAATAACATTTTAAGCAATCACCGCTTGTTCTACACTTCGATTTTTAACAGCCTTTTACTCTAAATCTAACTTCAAAACAAGTTTAGTAAGTAAGCTTTTACGTAATTCGGGAAATAAGTAGAACAGTTACAGCATTTTCAATTGGTTTACATGTAGAATTAATCTCGGTCATTGTAGCCTTACATGAAAAGATGCGAGCAATACCTGTCTAAGACGAGCCAGATTACTACCATTCTCCCCATAAATGGAGCCAATAACATTTTCAGGAACTACAATTTCCACCGTTGTGTTTGTCACCATAACAGATCTTCTTCCACTGCAAAAATCGGGGGGGAAAAAAAAGGGAACAAAAAAGAATGACTAGCTGAGAAATTCAAGTAAGCAGTTGTTTTCAATTCTAAAAATAATTTTGTCCTTTTTCCAAAACCACTACACAATTTCCAAGTAGATGGGCATGGGATTAAGCGGATGATGGGTAATGAGAGCAACAACTTGGGTACTTGATGATTTGCATATAAGGCTACAACATGATTTATGAATCACTTAAACAAATGTGTGAAATTTTGGGTCCAACTTGTGCAATACTAAATAGCTTAAGAAAGTAAGTTCTATTTAAAAACCAACTCAGAAACTCAAAAATAATTCAACTATCAAGCCTATAGCAAACTCGGGTTGAAACCTATAGCAAATTCATTAGGAGTTTGCTAGTAAAAGGACAAAACCACAATTCTGCGTACTGATTCTCATTACTCACCATTAATTACATTGCGGTCATGACCATTAATGGGAAAGATACCAGGATTTAAAACCATGATCACAGATTCTTTGTAATCCCACTAGTATACAATATAATCTCCACCAATGTAAAAAACTAAATCTAAATAGCACTCCATAATAGCAAAAATAAATGCAGAGGAGTTTCCAAATGAAACAGACATGGCATGAATGCAAACCAACATGACACGTTACCCTTCGTAGAAGTATCCATGCTTCTTAGCTTGTGAGACATGGCAGATTCCCAATCATTCATCTAACTTGTTAATAAGTCCATCATTCAAATTTCCCTAGCATCCCTCCGATTCAAAGCGATGATAAAAACTCATAAGTGCACACTCAGATTATCTCAAATCGTGACAAATCAAACATGATATAGAAAGAAATAAAGACGCCATTACATATTTTATGGTCTTATATCTAAATGGGTAATGCTATACAAACTGACTTTTTATACAAAAAATTTATACAAAATGATATATCTCAGGGAGCTTCTATTTCCACACCACATTATCTCAGTTCACACACTTAATTTCTGAATTTTTAGTTCAGAAGTCCGAACCAAAGATAGAGCTGAATCAAATAGTTTTCCACGTAAGTTGATTTCCAAACAAAAAAAAAATGAGTGCACTAAGAGGAAACCATGTGTGGAAATAGAAGCTGAGTGCTGCTAATACCAAAATTATCCTTAAGAAAATTTCACTCACTCAAATGCACACCCCCACACCCCTGAAAACCAAAGGCACTTTGTCCCTACCTTTCCCTTTCTTCAAACTCTGAATTGTACATAGAATAATCTCTTATCGAGGCTGATGAGCTGATGGAGCAATTTTTAAATTATTATTACAGCAATTCATATCTATTAAGCGAAAGCACTAAAATAGAATACACTAAAATAAAATAGAATACCATAATTTCTGCCTTATGTCCCCTCAACAAAACCATCAAAGTTCTCAAATAGAGCTTCCTTGCCCCCTATGGGACCATTAATTCCATATCAAAGCCAGCCCTATTCTCCTACAACTTAAAAGGGATATCTCTCTCTTGTCTTGTGGGTTTTCGAAAGACTATTGATTAATTGTCCCTCTTTTGTCTCTTGTTCTGGTTCATGGTTCCTCAAGCCAACCCCCAAAATTCTAAACACAAATATCAATATCCACGGTGAACTAAACGCAACTGAGCATTTAGACCAGCCACTAATCGATACCAGATAGTAGGAGGGATAGACTGCAATATGCAAAAATAACAGTCAACATCACTTTACTAGAAGAGATTGGAATGAGATTGGAATGAGAAGATGGAGTTGTTGTAGGAGGGGCTGGTGGAGGAGAGGAAGGCTGAGGTGGCGGAGGGGTGGACGCCGGTGGTGAGGTAGCAGTGGGTGGAGAATTTGGAGATGGTGAAGTACTCGCCATCTAATATGTAAGAATGTGTACCAAATAAAAATCAATTGCAATATAATATCACAAAAATCTCCAAGCATTCATCACACTAACCCATTTCAATTTTTAGGCAAATCGAAATGTCTAAACAATCACCCAGCTAATTTCCCAACCACCACAAGTCACTACCCAAACACTGAGTTTTGTCGAACACCCCACTCAAAATGTAAAAATAAATCACCATCCAGACTCATTAATCAGCTGCCATAGAGCAACAAAGAAAAATTTCAAGCTTTTAACCAAGTGATTAAATTCGCTCATTCCCTAGAGCAGTGCCAACATAAAGAGACTTTAGAAAAATGGGAGGCAACCAGAAGAGGAGACTTTAGAAAAGAAGGTAGACTGATGTCCCAAACTTTTTATTTTTTAATTTTTATAAGTAAAGTTATTATAAAAGAGGCACCACAGGGTGAGAGACCTCATGATTCATGGAAAGATATTAAAAGAGGTTGATGGAGCATGATGGTAAAAAATTTTCAACAAAATCCAATCTACAATGTTTAATATACCAAGCAAGACTCGTTAGACATGGAGCCATAACCTTTATTATGATGGCATGGCTAAGAAAGGTTTCAGTCCATGAAAACCAGATAAGGAATCCATGGTCAAAAATTAAAAAAAAACTACTACATAAGGAAGAATGATGCTATTCCAAAACACAATAAATAACATTGCTTGTCCCATTATCATAATTGATTATGGATGTGAAAATATATAGAAACTTTTCCTCGTTAGGGCAACTATTATCATAATTGATCAATTTCTGCATTTATTGAAGTCATAATTTGACTACCTACCTTGACAGTAGCCTACATCTATATCAAACCATGCATAGACAGCATGAATGTCCCATAGTTTTGACAAGTTTTCTTGCTTCTCATAGAAAACTAGAGTCCTATCAGTGCGAACCACATCGAGACCTGGCATAAATATAAATCCAAGCAAGAAAGGTTACAACACAAGTTCAACTACAGAAATTCATGAACAAGTAACAGTTTTTGCTCATCCGACCAATAAAACAAGACTTCAAAATCTTATTCGAAATGACAAAAAAACAGTACACAAATGACCACCTAAAAAAAAGAAAAGAAGTAATTTGTTGTAGAATCTAAGATTGAATGGCATTCCCTATAATTTACTACTAATAAATATAGACCACAATCTAAGATTGAATGCAAGCTCTGAAGATAAATCATGTAACTTCAATATTCAGCACCTTATTCATGAAACACAAATAATGGATTGTGTAACATTACATCCCAAACTGATCTTCAAAAAATAGAGGAGGCTACAGAAGATGGACTCAGCGATATGAGTGAAAATCTAATAATTATGATGATGGTAAAGGAAATGTGCATTCAATAGTAACATATACCACCAACCTATTTGATGTAGTGTAAGCTTCCATTGGATTATTTTCTTGTCCACTTCTTTTACCATTGTTGAGCTGTAGGGAGTTGCTGTATTTACATAATTTAAGGCATTAGCATCTTATGAATTACTAATTGCAGACTTGAAGTTATCAACATTACCATTTTCTTGAGAAACTGTAGCCAATCCCTTGTCTGGATTTTCTTCCAGAAGCATTATAGGATCTTGAATAGGATCACCATCTTCAGTGATTACTGGTGCAGTAATAAACCTACCACTTCCAACAATGGGAAACAATTGGTGGCACTCTTCTTTCAACACAGTATATTGTGCCCTGAAGGCAGTCAAGAAAGAGAGAATTACTGGATAATATCCAAGTATTACAAGGTAGACTTTGGTCTATAAGAGGGCATGAGGTCTTTGGACAATTTATAGGATAAAAATATTTTAGGTAAAAGCAAAGATTAGGTTACGCGAATCATAATACTCAGTAACAAAACCAATTTGACAAAGACAAAATATTGTTTTAAATCCTTTTTTTTTTTTGGGTGAATATATTGTTTTAAATCCTTAATTGAATAAAATCCACATTTTTTCGACCTTATTAGTTGATTTATATTTAGCAACTACGTGCAAGATATTTTCATTCAAACAAAGTCAGGAGAGGGAAACAACCAAGCACTCGTAGCACCAAAAGCAGAGGCTAACAACTGCCAGGTTGTCAAGGACACATCTGAAATCAGCAAATGTGATACCAAGCTCACTGCATCGAATTAGGTCCCCAGTTTAGTCTATGGCCGTTCATTATGCCAACTCTAATGTGGAACCTACATTATTTCATCATAGCTTCAAATTCTACAACCTGTTGCTCCATCTACAGGTTGGAGATATGTACGTGGAGATGAGCAATGCAAGTCGAGGTAGAGCAGGCCAGCCCTTTTTACACACTGGCTTACCTATATAATCTTCTAACATTATTGCATGTAGCTTGAAATTCTACAACCTGTTGCTCCGTCTGCAGGTTTGAGATATGTAGGGGGAGATGAGCAATGCAAGTTGAGGTAGAGCAGGCCAGCCCTTTTTAGGCACCGGCTTACCTATATAATCTTCTAACATTATTGCATGGACACAGTTTTGTCGCAAAGAAATTTTAAGTACGATATGTGAAACAATTGCAAAGGTAATCAGATTATTATTATTTCATTATTGAATGCAAGGTACAAGTTAAATAGGCACATAAGAAACTCTAAAATCTTAATTGCCTATGCCAAGACTAAACTACCATTAAGTACTAATCTAAATAACATAAGAATAATCCAGCATATTTCACAATATGCACTCATCAGATTGAAATGGACCACATCTCCACATTCAAGGAGCTGCAAAAATAGAAAGCAGATTCGACGTAAGGTTGATAAATGTCGAGGAAAATTCCACCTTGTTCAAAGTATTAAAATAAATAAATAAAAAAACACCAAATTCAAAAAGAAAAAATGAAGAATTCAGCAGACATGCTAAAATCAATATTTAAAAGTTTCAAAGATGCAACAGAACTGCAAGAATTCAAAAAGAAAAAATGAAGAATTCAAGAGACATGCTAAAATCAATATTTAAAAGTTTCAAAGATGCAATGGAACTGCAAACAGGTTGTAATGACTCCACCTCAAGGTTTAAAAATGCAAGCTCCCTAATTCGTCCAGCAATGGTGGGGTAATCAAACTGAATTGCAGTAGTGAATACTGCATAAAGGTTCATAGTCAGAAAAAGAATATGGAATCATTAAACGCAACTATCACTAAGGAATTGAATGACCAGATAATGAGAAGCATAAAGGATTTAGGAAGTCATGACTAACCTTCTTTGTCAGGTCAAAACTTAATGTGTGTCCCTTGACGATCTTTTGATTCATCTCGAAGCTCATGACATATTAAAGTTGTTACAGGCTTTCCACGGGAATATTTTTGTTGGTATGCCTTCCCATCACGCCAAACAATAACTTCTAATGCCTGTGAACCAAGACATGACAGAAATAAATGACTCGGTCCTGATAAATAGAAACCGTTGATGCCAGCAAACTTGAAATCCCTGATATAACTAAGACATAACAAGTTGGGAAAGTTTAATTATAAAATTTTAGTTTTTAAAAATAAATAAATAAATAAATAAATAATAATAATAATAATAATAATAAAATAAACGAAACTGATAGATACATACATCTGAATCAACTTAAATGCAATGGCCAATAAAGGTATAAGAAATGAAAGTAAACACCTCAGATAACGCATTCACAACGGACAAACCCATACTGTAATGTTAAAACCCTATAAAGTTTTTCCACAGGTGTACTATCTGCACTAGAAAGGACAGGTAAGTGACATCAAAATTGGAACATTAAAGCCTAAATCATATTTCACTGCCAAGAGGAACTCAAATGCTCTCCTCCAACATTTAAAAGAATAAACGAAACTGATAGATACATACATCTGAATCAACTTAAATGCAATGGCCAATAAAGGTATAAGAAATGAAAGTAAACACCTCAGATAACGCATTCACAACGGACAAACCCATACTGTAATGTTAAAACCCTATAAAGTTTTTCCACAGGTGTACTATCTGCACTAGAAAGGACAGGTAAGTGACATCAAAATTGGAACATTAAAGCCTAAATCATATTTCACTGCCAAGAGGAACTCAAATGCTCTCCTCCAACATTTAAAAGAATAAACGAAACTGATAGATACATACATCTGAATCAACTTAAATGCAATGGCCAATAAAGGTATAAGAAATGAAAGTAAACACCTCAGATAACGCATTCACAACGCAAAAACCCATACTGTAATGTTAAAACCCTATAAAGTTTTTCCACATGTGTACTATCTGCACTAGAAAGGACAGGTAAGTGACATCAAAATTGGAACATTAAAGCCTAAATCATATTTCACTGCCAAGAGGAACTCAAATGCTCTCCTCCAACATTTAAAAGAATAAACGAAACTAATAGATACATACATCTGAATCAACTTAAATGCAATGGCCAATAAAGGTATAAGAAATGAAAGTAAACACCTCAGATAACGCATTCACAACGGACAAACCCATACTGTAATGTTAAAACCCAAAGAGCTAGGGTTGTGTAACCTGATATATTTATTTATTTATAAATATATTTTTTGGGGCTTTCATATTTCAATTGTATAAGAAAAAGGGGTTTTCTTCAATCCATGTCAATCAAATTAATTACAGGAGGCAAAAACTACAGGTTTAGCAAATTCAAGGTGAGGAAACTCTTGAGAGGTAAAGATCTGAAAAGTTAAAAATTATAGTTAGGGTTTGAAATTGGGGGAACGAGAGCAAGAGAGAGAGAGAGAGAAAGAGAGAGCGTGTTTACCTGATGAAAGAGGTCTGAAATCGAGAGGATTAGCAATGGTAGAGTGTAGGCGGCTACACGCACTGCTACCAAACTTCCTTCATCTCTCCACCGAACCCCACTGCTGCCGGAGCCGTCGCCGCCGCTGTCTTCCTCGTAGGCCGTTTGGGGAATTTGGGGGTGAAGTTAGGGATTTGGGGAGGAGGAGCGACGGCAGAACAGGAAGAAGAAGGGCTTGGGTTTTTTTTTTGGACTTTTTGCGACGGTATGATGTAGACCGTCGCAAATAGAAGGCAAAACGGCGCCGTTTGTATTAATCCTTTTTTGCGACGGCAAATTTCCGTCGCAAATGATATATGCCGTCTAAAAAAAAAGGTGTTTTGCGACGGTTTTATTTACCGTCGCTAATACTTCCGCATTTCCGACCCCTCCGCTTGGTTTCATTACCGACGGGTCAGTACCGTCGCTAAAGGGTATTATTTGCGACAGGTGCAGTTACCGTCGCAAAAAATCGTTTTTTGCGACGGGGGGCGCGGCGTCGCTAAAACTCCGTGTTTTTTGCTATGTTTTCTTGTAGTGAGTTCATCTTTCATATGTTATTTTACTATTGATTTGCGATATCATATATCAATAATGACGTGACATCACTATTATATGAAATTTTTACTTAAATTTTGAAAAAAATTGATTTATCTTACCATTATATAATTTATTTTACGACTTAAATATGTGACTTTTTTTACATTGTCCATGATACACTAGTTGCACGCAATACTTTCTTTTCAATTTTACTTGAAGTTAAATGTAAAATTTTATGTGAAATACTTTTGTAACAATTTAATTAATTTTTTGTACTTAATATTGATTCAAAAATTATTATTATTTTCTTATTGTTGGTTATGAAAAAAAAAAATTTAAGTTATAATTAATAAGTGCTCCTCCTGATTTAATTTCTTGACTCCGCCACTGGTTATGAGATATATGACTAGTGGTTATGAGATATGTGATATTTGTTATGACTCAAAGGGGTTGGTTATAAGATGTGGTTATGATTTATGTGAGTAATAATTATGAGATATGTGATCAATGGTTATGAGATATGTGATATTGGTTATGAACAAAGTGGTGTGGTTATGAGCAAAATGGTGTTAGTTATGAGATATGTAATGTTGGTTATGAAAAAATAGTGTTGGTTATGAGATATGTGATATTGGTTATGAGATATGTGATGTTGGGACTCCTGAATTCCTCTGATTTCCTTTACCCTCTTTTTAGTAACCGGTTATACCGGTTGCCAATTCAAAATTAAATTATTAAAATAATTTAGTTATGTGGTAGTTATGAGATAATATGGTATGTATGAATAACTAAATATAACTAAGTTATGAGTTAATATGATAATAATAATAATTATGATTTATATGATATTAGTTATAATATAAAATCACATATTCTCATAAATGATGTATGGTACATCTAAATGTACCATAGCATCACCCTTCAATATGTGGACGGTATCATCAGTTTTGGATACCGGGTGGGTTGGTCCGTTAGAATTTCCCTCACATTAAAAAAAGAAATAGTGGGGCCAACAACTAGGCTTCATGGTGTGGTGATGTGGTTGGACCAATCCAACGTATGATCGTAAAAAAGTCTACAAGACGCTTTTCAAAACTTGGCAGGCCCGTCACGTACGCAATCCAAACAACTCAACATTATATTTACAAACTATGGCAAAAAAGTAATAAAACAAAAAATGGAATTTCTGATATCATCATAAAATAATTGGGACTCAGTGGTTTACAATTCATCCCTATGGGATTTATAAGGCAATTCTACTTTTTTTTTTAATACTTTCTTAAATTTTTTAAGCAAATACAGCCTAAAAGAGAGCGTACACTCTCAAGCTTTGACCAAGAGGCCAGCTCCCTCGAAGGACCCTGGGCTGGAGCACAAAGTCGAAAGCAAGCAAAACGAGCGGTGGAATTCAAATCAAAGCCATACAACATTCTTCCGCGCAATTGCCGACTGCCTGCCTGCCGCCTTCTTTGAATATTATACTAGAAAACAATTTCCAGAACGCGGTCACAACAACACAAGAAACAACACATACATGTGGAATAAAAACTAGTCTATACAAATCTCATACTATTATATAACTCCACTCCACTGAACACCCATTACACACTCTTCAATTCTCGCTTTCCCCAAATAACACCCCCTCTCTGCTTCTCCCAAACCCAACATTTTCACCAGAGAAGAGTTCCTAAAAATTACATTTTCTTCTCGCATATAAACCCACATAGATTGGGATTTTATGGGAAGGAAGGAATTGAAGATGGAGATGATTGGCGGCAGCGGAGTAGAGGTGATTGAGGATAACGAATATTGTACGACGCCGAAGCATCCCAAGAATCGAATTCCGGAGTTGTTGGAATGTCCCCCGCCTCCGAAGAAGAAGACAGAGCGTGGTCGGAGTACGAGGAACCCGCCCAAGATTGCCTACTTCTATCCACTTGATCTTGATGCTCTGTTTGCCCTCAGTAGCAGCCAATGACCCCAAAAAAAACCCTTGGATTATTAATGTTACATTTTAGGGGAAAAGGACATTAAATTGTTGTTATTTTTTTTCATTTGATGTAGTTTGTGCAAATACAGTTTGGTATAGAATAATTATTGGTTCTATTTGGATATTCTCATCTGATTGCCATTGATTTACACAATATTACTTGTTATATTTATGACAAATTACATTAACTTCCCCTAGAATTTTAATATAAAAAAAAATTACAGTAAGTTCGATAATTTTGTTATAATTATATTAACTTCTCTTAAATGGAATTAATATAAATGGTATGAAAATACAAAAATAAATAACATAGAGTATATTTTCATGTAAAAGTGATGACAACATAATTTTTGCATTCATATAATTAACAAATTATTGATGACAATAGGGTAAGTGTTATGTAAATTAAAATCTTAATAAAGCTCAATGTAATTATATTAAAACTGTGAAATTCACTGTATTTTCTCTAAATCTTAAGAAAAATCAATGTAATTCACCCTTAGATTTTAATTTTTTACCAACTTCTCAAAACATCCCTAAATAATCTCCCATAAATTGAGAGGGGCAACAACCCCCTATAAATTGACAACTAAATAACAATAATCAATCGGTAAATTAATTTGGCAATAAATAGTAAAAAATTGTAGAATTGTAGCAATGGTGAGACCGGGTGGTCGTCTAGATGATTGTTCAAAACACACCAATTTTAATGTGTTGCTGGGAGGGAGAGAGGGAGATTTTTCCTGAGTTGGCACATATGGTAGCTGCCAAAACTTATGTCAAATTTTGGCAAAAGCTTTGACATTTGTCAAATTTGGCAGTTGCCATATGATATCATTGGAGCACTATTTTCTTCTCCAATTGTCAAATTATAGTAATAGTAATTCTAATGACAAATCATTGAAAATATTCTTAGCCTCCGTTTGGGAAGTGGGTTGGCTTTTTGGCTTTTTGGCTTTTTGGCTATTTTAGCCTGGGCTATTTTAGCCTGGTTTGGGAAGGGCTTTTTGGCTTTTTGGCTTTTTTGACTTTTTTTGTGAGAGAGGATTGTAATGATTATGGGTTGGATTTGATGTTTTGTTTTTTGTGGCTAAAATAACCTATTTTGTTTTTTGTGGCTATTTTAGCCAAAAAAGCCTGGGCTTTTTCTTGCCAAACGGAGGCTTAATGATTAAACCCAATTATGCCACGTGCATGAGAAGATATATAGGACAACACGCATGTTCCTTTTATTGACATGATTCTGATTACATCATGTTTAACATGAAGCCACATAAAGCTTTTGTTTGTGTGAGAAAACCGAAACTCCAAAATGTCAGCCTCCCATAACAACACTTAAAGCAAATATGAAGTGTTTTTATTTTTTTATTTTTCCCCTAGTTCAATAAATTCTTGCACTTTCAGCAGAAGTAGATAACAATCTGTTTAACCTACAATGGCAACAACAATGGCAATGGATCAGATGCCACATCTTTATCACAACCTTCTTTGAGTTTCCAGAACGTCTGGAAGGACTTCTACCACTCCTAGCCATAATCTGTTGCTTTCAATCCTCTACCATTGTTATTTTTTCTGTTTTTGTTTTTGTTTTTTTTTTCAAATATGTAGGAACCAAATAGAGAAAGAAACAGCTACCTAGCTTAGTCGTAATACTCAAATCTAGGTATCATGCAGGATAAGAGAGAGTTTCATCTACCAAGTCAGTTCTTTGATTTTTCTCACGTGCAATTATTGGGTACCGAAGTATTGTCACGTGATGCCTTCTTTGATTGAGTTTGATTTACAGGATAGGGCTTATCGTTTATCCCATTTACATTAATGGTTTGTCTAATAGTATGAAAGGTGGCAATTAATGATTGGTGATGAGTACTATCACATAACAATGTCATGCTATACCCTTTTCTGTACCCAATAATTTCTCCTTCTTCAATGTTTTTGTTCAAAGAACTAGGAATGCTTGAAAACTAAGGGTATCTCCAATAGAGATGTTTACTTTGTGTGTTATATGACAAAAAATTAAAAGTGAGACCAAAACATGTGTGTTAAGAGTTTGTTAATTTAGATAATAAATGATAGTACAATTGATGTGTTAAGGATATATATATATATAATAGATAAAATAAATAAATAATATAAAAAGTGTGCTCCTCTCCTATTCCCCTCTTTTTCTCTCTCCCTCTCTCATTTGTTAGTGGCCTCGCCACAGTTAACAAGTCTTGTAACATTTGACATCAAAATTTGTTCTTAACATTATCACTAACACTAATCATAATTAGCTAAATTTTGGCATCTAACACTAATACACTCATTAGTGTGTCCATTGTGGCAATTAATAATTGGTGAAGAGTATTATCACATGACAATCTTGGGCATACCCTTGTTGTATTCAATAATTTTTCCTTCTTCATTGTTTTTGTTCAAAGAACTAGGAATGCTTGAAAACTAACCTTGTTTTTACTTATTTGCATTTACATTTATTTAGCTTAAAATTTAAATTCAAATGCTTAAGAAGTTGTATTTCGAAAAAGTACAGGTGTTTTGATTTCACCTTTTAGAATTTTTAGTTTTGGAAGCTCAAAAAGGCTAAATTTTTATAGTTCTTTTTTAAAAAAATATTTTTTTATGCTTTAAATTTTTTTAAAAAAAAAGAAAAAAGAAGCTAAAATCAATTTAAAAGATGAAACAAACAAGCTTGTCATCTTATGAAATAATGATATATAAATAGAGTTTTCATAGAAAAATTGCATTCAGAATGACATAACAGTAACATTTTCAAATTATAAGTTCTACTTATAAATCTTGCATTAAAATTAAAAGAATTATTTTGTTTAAAATTTCTGTATTATTCTTCGCTTGTTGAATTTAAATAATTACGCTATTAAATATTCTAAATTTAGGGTAGGAAAAATGTTGACAAAAGATGGTGACAAGGAAAGAATACCAGTGAAGCAAGAACTACAAGGTGAAAAAATGAACACATATACAATCTTTATATTTGGGTTCTACCTTTCAAAACCTTAGTCATTATAATGAGAGTTTCTTGATTTCAAAGACAAAACTAGTTAGAAAATAGCCCGATTGAGGCCCATTAAAGCCAAAGAGTTAAGACTAGAAAGTCTATGGGGAGTTGGTTTTGAGATAGTTGGAGTAAATGAAAATCATGCAACTACTCACCTAAAAAGCTTCAATTCATTGGCTATTTGATTGTCAACATTACCCTTCATTTTCTTGAGGATTTCTATAGTTTTTGAACAATTGAAAGTTAACCGTGTATAATATTTTACCAAGAATTTGTGCATAACTCAAGTGGTTAAACTTTAGATTTTGAGAGATAGGTTTTGAGGTCGAGTTAATAAAAGACTCAAAAAGTCCAATTGTGTTAATTTAATTTATTATCTTAATTAACGCAAATTTTTTTTAAGTTTTTGATATGTGAGTGTCATAATTTTTGAATTATGGAGTTCATCAAAACAAAGACTAGACACTTCATCCCAAAGAAACCTATTGTTGAAAAAAAAAAAAAAAAAAAAAACGATATATAAGTGGATAGTCTGCCTAAACCTCTACTTTGACTAAACAGTGCTTGATATAATTTCAAGATGACTGTTGCCTTAAACTACAACATTTCTAGTGAAAATATATCAGATTCACAAAATGACATGCTCTTGGGTTCTTGGGAGATATATGAACGAGCATTCTATTCTTCACTTTGCAGTTATTTCTTGGAAATTTAAAGGAAGTTGGCACCTCATTAGCCAAAAATTTATAGTTCAAAAGTGAATTTCTTAAAACATCAATGCCACGTTCCCAATTTTGCAGATTTTATTAGAGAACTGGTCCCCTCCTCTTCATTGTCCTTCAATATGTTGAGAAGGACAAATATTGAAGGCCAAATAATTTGTCTTCATTTTTTTTTTCTTTTTGGTCCCGAGGGTGGGTATTGGGGACCTTGGAATCAACCCCATGAGGTTCGATCCTTTGCGCATGTATACATTAGGGGTTCGAATTATGTACAGATTTTTATGAAGAAATTAGTTAAGGCTAGAATTTCGTAAATAAACCCATGTGGTTTACGACCCGATGAATTTGAAGCCTATCACTAATAAAGGGTCATAATAGACTCTCTACAAAAGGTTAAAAATGAGACTTTTATAAAAATATTAAAGTTGTGTTTGGTAGAGTTTTAGAATTATGGTTTGAGAATAGAATTGTATTTTAGGTTGGTGAGTTTTAGAATTATAATTTGAGTGTAGAAAATTTATTTAGTTATGAGTTTTAAAAAAACTTTGAATTGAGTGATGTGACATATAATATTAAAAAGTGTGTGTTTTGAAAAGTAAGTGTGAAATTAATTTTCTAAAACTGTAACCAAATAACACACTCAAACTAATGGATAAAATTAAATTTCAAAAACTCTACCAAACAGACTACTAACTCAAACATCAAGAGGGTCTTTGGTCAGCACCACAAGTATCCATTCAAAACTTATATCTTCTATTGAATATTTATCATATTGAGTTGAGATGATAGGTGAACATCATCAGAATTAACCCAAAAAATCCAAAATAATAGACATTTAGAATATTTATCAAATGCAAAATCAGGACATAATAGTAATTCCATACTCTCTCCCAAATTACGTTTACTAATTAAACGTCTTGCACTTGACCATGTGGGCCTTGGAAAAAACTACAAAGGGTCCTACACGTAATCAATATTAGACTACAAAAGATCATAAAATTCGTCTTACTTTATCAACACTCTAAAATTAAGCTTGACCAAAACCAAATCCAAAACCAAAGCCAAGCATACCAAATTACAAAGCCACATGAAGTTCCATTTTTATTGTTCTTTAATGGTGACAATCTCATTACCTAATCTTCAGTAAATATATTTATATAGCACCACAACCAGTGCTATAGGTCCATACTGGCTCTAACCTAGAGAGAGAGAGAGAGATGGTTTCTCAATTTCCTTCTTCTCCTTTCATGACCTCTCTATTCTTTTGTGCTTTTGTTCTATTTCTACTTCCAGAATTTGCGTTCTGCATAACGAGGCATTACAAGTTCAATGTACATTACAACTTCAAGCGCAACCATAGAAAATCTTGCTTGATCTCGATTTAATCTTTTTAATTTTTGTTTTGTTTTGTTTTGTTTTTTTTTTTTTTTTTTTTTTTTTTTTTTTTTTTTTTTGTTTTGATATATTTTAATTTGAGTTTCATATCAGATTACATCACACAATGTGACAAGACTCTGCAACACAAAGAGCATCCTAAGTGTGAATGGGAAGTTTCCAGGGCCGCGACTCGTAGCAAGAGAAGGCGATCAAGTCCTTGTTAAGGTGGTTAACCATGTCACCAACAATGTATCCCTTCATTGGTATGTTACCATTAAACTTAATTTACGATTATCAACCATAATTTTAAAATCACATAGTCACAAAAAATAGCCTTGTAACAGCTGAACTGACTTTATTACCTGTGAATATACCTATAAAAAATTAACTGATATGCATGTAATTTTCAAACCATGCCATGAATGAAACTTTTTGAAATGAGCAATACAACATGAAGTCCTTGATTGTGCAGGCATGGAATTCGGCAACTGAGAAGTGGTTGGTATGATGGACCAGCTTATATAACACAGTGTCCGATCCAAACCGGCCAGACCTATACGTACAACTTCACGATCACCGGACAGAGAGGGACTCTATTCTGGCATGCTCACATCTCATGGTTGAGATCAACGCTTTATGGACCGATCATCATCCTCCCCAAGCACAATGAAAGCTACCCGTTTGGCAAACCCTACAAGGAAGTCCCCATTATTTTTGGTAACTCTCATTATAAATAATAAGCTTAGAGAGGTTGATACTTAAACTTTAATTACATTAATAAGTCCTCATTATAGCTTTATTTTTGCTTGACATTTTTTTAAATTTTTGAGGATTTCAGGAGAATGGTGGAATGTAGACCCTGAGGCTGTGATAAACCAGTCACTACAAACAGGAGCTGGACCCAATGTTTCTGATGCATACACCATTAATGGCCTCCCAGGGCCTTTGTACAACTGTTCTTCCAATGGTAAATCCATCACTGCTATAACAGAAATGAAAAACACTTAATAAAGTGTCTAAAATTGATCTATAAATTTAAATTTGATGTATTATATAAGTCATACTCAAAATAAATTTGATTTAAATATTTCGAGTAATAGAATATTTTTGGAGTATTTATCGGGGGCTATAATGGCCACTTACTAGTGTGTTATATAGCAAGTTAGTAATTACGAGTATTGTTGGAATCTAATGATAAAAGTTAAAAAAAAAATATGAAAGGAAAATGATAAATTAATAGTATTTTTATAATTTTAATAATTAAAATTGATAAAATTTATCATTAATTTATAATTTTTTTTGAAAACATGCAATTTTTCCAAATATGAAATCTATGTGAATCTTATAATTGTAACTATATGCGATCATTGACTTCACTAGAACCAAGTCCAACCATTTTTTTTTTGATGAGCAAAAAAGAACTTTATTGATGAGAAATCATACATTACATATGGGAAAACATCAATAAAGAGAGGAGGTGCAAAAAGCATCAAAGTACACCCCCCCAATCCCAACTAGGTTGGCACCAAGGGGAATACCCAATCATTTGCTAGCACCACCGAAAAGTTGGTGAGAAACCAACAGAAAAGAAGAGAAAAAACACCCAAAGCACCCAGGCCAAACAGGGAAATCAACACAACCATCATTTAGATTCTACAATTTCCATACGCAACAACATCCAACAGCTGCAGAGACAAGCTAAAAGCATCAGAAGCAGAAAACCAGCAAAGCAGAAGCAGAATACCAGCAGAAGCAGAATCAGAATCAGCCAGAAACAGAATCAGCAAACAAAACCAGCAGCTGCAGAATCAGAAGCAGAACTATATCAGCAGCTGCAGAAACCATACCAGAAGCAGAACTCCAATTGCCATAGCAGCATCTACAGAAACCAACTCAAGACCCTCTCCTAAGGCAGGTTCTAACTTGCTGAAGGTGGTGTACTAAGTCAATAACAGAGTAATTTATGGAAGGGCAAGAAGATTTAACCCACAAGGCAATCCTAACCTTAATGGATTCACAAAGTTCATCAATATCCACCTGAGCATTACCGAAGATACACTCATTTCTACGATTCCAAACTGACCATAGCACTGCTAGAGGGATTGCTCTCCAGATCATCTGCTCCTGCTTTTTAAGCTTAAAACCGATGCACCAGTTGAACAGACAATTGATAGACCCAGGCAAAACCCACTGAATACCCCACCATTGTAAGATTCTAGACCAAATCCTCCAAGTGAAGGGACAAAATAATAACACATGATTAATATTCTCCACCTCACCTTTACAGAAAATACAACGAGGATCAAACCCATCACTGAGAACTCCAATTCTTTGGAGATAGCAAGAAGTCTTAATCCTACCTTTCCAAGCTAACCAACCAAAAAATTGAACTCTAGGTGGAGAGACATTCTTCCAAATGAGATCTGCTATTTTACTATTACCAAGTCCAACCATAATGCTCACTTTTAACATGAAGTTTTCTTTTGTCTTCATCTCTATTCACAAAGCTCACCAAAGTTAGTTAACTTTTATTTATTTTTTATTTTTTTAATTTTATCAACTAATCAAACTATGGTTGACAAAATAATATAGGACATCATCGCATAATATCATAGGAAACATAGAAATGAAAATAAAGTATTGAGATTATCTTAAAATATTCACATTCAAAAGATGAATTATAACATTTTAAGTGTTTTAAGATTTTTTTTTTAAAAAAAATTATAATAAAAAATCTTTTAACGCCAATACAAATTGCATCTAAAATAAATTTGTGTGAATGCATTTTATTTCTTATACACTTTTCAATGTCATAGTTATGAAAAATTCTAATATACACCCTTTATAAAAGGGTGCATTATACGCACTCTTAATTCATTTAAAATAAATTTGAGATTATAGTACATTATACGTACTGTTATTTTCTTCTTTAGTTATGATCAATGTTTTTATTTAGTTATGGTACTATTTTAATTATGATTTATGAATTTTTTAATATAACTCATGTTGTATTTAGTTATGATTTTTTTTTTAATTATGACTCAAAAAATTAAAATTCTATCATTTTTATTAATTATAAAGCACATATGATAGTAACGGTATACACAGTGTTGTCCTAAATTTAGGCCTTGTTTGGTTTGTTTTTCAGAAAAAAAATTTTGGAAAAAATTCTCTATAAACAAATTTTCAAGTGTAATCAAACCAAACAAATTTTTCCAAAAACAATCTCAAAATTTTGTTTGGTTACCTACTTTCCAAAATCACTTTCTCTCTCATACACATCAAATCAATCACTTTTTTTAAAACTTTCTTTCCAAAATAATTTTTCAAAACCATTTCTAAAAAAATGCAAACCAAACAAGTTTTTGTACTTTTTATTTCAAAAATTACTCTACAAACACAAACCAAACACATCCGAAGGGAAGACCTACCTCCTATCTGTGTTGAGCAGATACTCATTATCTGTGTTGAGCAGATACATTTACATTGAAGGTGAAGCCAGGGAAGACCTACCTCCTCCGACTAATCAACGCCGCCATGAACGACGAGCTCTTCTTCAGCATCGCGAACCACTCTCTCACTGTCGTCGAAGCCGATGCAGTCTACATAAAACCATTCACCACCGACGTAATTGTCATCACACCAGGCCAAACCACCAACGTCCTCCTCAAAACCAAACCGCATTTGCCTAACTCCTCCTTCTTTATGATGGCCTCGCCTTACTTCACCGGCATGGGCACTTTCGACAATTCCACCGTCGCCGCCATCCTCCATTACCAAAACCCATCATCAAAAACCAAAACCCAAATTCCCAATTTCCCTCTCCTCAAACCCACTCTCCCGCCTATCAATGCCACGTCGGTTGTCTTCAATTTCACACAAAAATTGAAAAGCCTCGCATCCCCTAAATTCCCAGCAAACGTCCCGCAAACTGTCAACAAACAGTTCTTCTTCACAGTGGGTCTCGGGACAATCCCGTGCCAAAGCAATGCCACTTGTCAGGGGCCAAACGGAACCAAATTCGCAGCCTCGGTCAACAACGTCTCGTTTTCTCTCCCATCGATTGCTATGTTACAGTCGCATTTTTTTGGGCAATCCAGTGGAGTTTATTCCTCTGATTTTCCGGCTAACCCGCCATTTGTGTTTAACTATACGGGTTCTCCGCCGAACAACACGATGGTGAGTAATGGGACGAAGGCGGTGGTGTTGGGGTTTAATACCAGTGTGGAGTTGATTTTGCAGGATACGAGTATTTTGGGGGCTGAGAGTCATCCACTTCATCTTCATGGGTTTAATTTCTTTGTTGTTGGACAAGGGTTTGGGAATTATGATCCAGTGAAGGACCCCAGTGGGTTCAATTTGGCGGATCCTGTGGAGAGGAACACTGTCGCAGTTCCCTCCGGTGGGTGGATCGCCATCCGCTTCCTTGCTGATAATCCAGGTGCCCAAAACATGAAACTTTTTTTTTTTTTTTAATTTTTATTAACCAATAAATTATAGGAGTATAAGGATTAGGCTTCTCATGTTTCTTTTATTTTGAAATCTTAATATGAGAAAATTTGAGGAGTCCGTAAGATCTATTACGTGTCTTGTTTTGACGATTCAAATCGTTTATTTTATAAAACTCTTAATATATATCATTTATGAAATAATCGTAACATTTTTATTTTATAGTATTTATTCAAAAATAAAGAATAGATGGTCTATTTCAAAAATATAAAATGGAAAGGTATATGTATTTAGAAAATGATAAATAAAAAAAAAGATTATATAATTTTAAATTAAGAGTGTATATTTATACTTCTTATTATTAAGTCACACTATGAATGAATCTTGATGTTAGATTTTAAATTCTAAGTAATTTTTAAATGTTTTTATTTAATTTTTTTTTTTTTACATACTGTTATAAAATATTAAGTTTAGGGGATTTGGATTTCAAGCATAAACATCACTCACAATTTTAATATTTTTTAAAATATGCCAATATATTAATTATTTTTATTATTTTTTAATAATTAATTTTGAACAAAGAACCATTCACAAAATTTACATAGACATACACAACAGTGACAAAAATAAATGATACATCTATTTTTTGGGTCTGGTTAACTTGGGAATGCATTAAGAATATTTAAAAAGGTTGCACTTTCCATTCCACAGGTGTATGGCTTATGCATTGCCACTTTGAGGTGCACACAAGCTGGGGTTTGAAGATGGCATGGATAGTGTTAGATGGGCCACTACCCAATCAAAAGTTGCCTCCACCACCGTCTGACCTTCCTATGTGTTGACTTCGACCAATCCACTTCCTTTACAGGGTTTTCTCGTATCAAAAAAACAGAAATTTTTTTTTTTTTTTTCATTTTAATTTGCATATATAATTGTGATGTCACTTGTGTGTGCCTACTACCCAAAGAGAGAAAAAGTTCCCCATTTACGGTTTTGTATACTTTGATAATTGGTGTGGATTGCAGCTAATAATTTTTTGGACAAATCACATTATGTCGATAGAAAATAAGAGGGAATTATTTGTAAGTTTTATTTGAAAGATTTATATAAGATATAGTCTTATGAAAAAATTTGTAATGCAATAGGTCCTGTGATTTTATTATGGACATATCTATCCTCAATCTTAATTAATTAATAATCTGATTAATGATAATATCATATATGAGAAATTTAATGTTACTATAGATTATGATCTTATTAGCTATATTGTTAAAAATTTGAAATTCAAAATAACTTAATTAATGGCAATATCATATATAAGAAATCCAATATTACCATATATTGTAATCATATCTATATGATTGGAAATTTGAAATTCAAAACGTAAATGCAACATGTAACATCCCAAACCCAATGTGATATTCCCAAATCCAACGTGACATTTTCATATCCTTCTGAAATTCAAAATAACTTGATTAACCATATATAAAAAATCTAATGTTACCATAAATTGTGATCATATTCATATGGTTGGAAATTTGAAATTCAAAACATAAATGTAATATGTAACATCTCAAACCAAATGTGACATTCACAAACCCAACATGATACTCTCATATTCTTCTCATCCCAAACCCAACGTAAATGTAACATGTAACATCCCAAACTCACCATGACATTCTCACATGCTTCTTATCCCAAACCCAACGTGACATTCCAATACTTCACCATTGAATTATGAATAATGTGACATTCTAAATATAACATATAACATCTCAACCCAATCTATGAATTGAACCACTATCACCCCCAACCCAGCGTAACTTCAACATCGAGCGATGGGATTCTATCCACATTCAATTACAAACCCAAATCTCTAATAATCTTACACAACATATTGTGAGATGTATGTAAATACTGATTACAACAAAAACACAATACACATTCAAACACATATACAATCGAACAAACATACAAATGTCATCTACTGCATGGTGTATGTAGATTAAAGTTACACACTAAATGTAACATGTATTGTAACACGATCATTCTGGTCCCAATGTACAACAACCGTCCTACAGCGTGGTTCACATTCAACATCCAATTAACAACCAAAACCAAATACCCCCAACCCAACCCTTGAACTCATACACACCACCCCACACATCGAACATATCAAAACGCATCAATCATCATAATGTAAAATACACACATTCTGTCAAAATATTGGCCAAAGTATGCCTATCAATGAGTGTACTAGATTGTCAATGCCCTATTAAAGATAAACAATCTACACTTCAACAAACAGCAGCACACTTCAAAAAAAAAAAAAAAAAAACTTTCCTTCAATCGATTGGAGTTGAAATCTATCAAAGGAATCAACACACAACTCTCAAATTTCATCATATCATCAACCATATCCACATTCATTTAAGTAACATTTTGAAAATGCACTGGAATCCCGCGATCAAGGCGAAAAAAACTCACATGATCGTCGCCTGTAAACTTGTCTTTTTTAAAAGCCTTCCCAAACGTGATATCACGAATAAGAAAATAAGGTATAGCATGGAAGCAAATTAGGGGTATAATAGTACTATAATATCATTTATTTACAACTCATATGACCTATGGAACACATTCATATTTAAATAGGACTTCAAACTCTAAAAGAATATTCATTGGACTTCACATTAAATAAGTCTTCCAAATAAGACTTATAAATAGTTTTTCCAAAAAATAATTAAATTTATTGGAAAGTCCTATTTTGGAAACTTCTATATCATTTGGTCCCGCGTTTTAAATGGTTGATTGAGGAGTCCTTATTAGGTGTAGTGTGTGACCAGTAAGTCCTTTTTTCAAACGTGGATGAGTAATGGTTAGACAGATATGCCCTCACTAGTTAATTGGGGAAGTTTTTTTTTTTTTTTAGGAATGTATGACAGGTATGATGTGATACTCCAATGTGACAAGTATTAATGTGACACTCCAACGATGGGACAACGTGACAGGTATAATGTGACACTCTAAAATGTGTACTCATCGTTAGTGTATTTTTTCCAAATGTGACAATATGATAGATATGATGTGACACTTCAAAAAAATAAAAACTCTTTAATATATTTTTTTCAAATGCGACAACATAGCGGGTATGTTGTGACACTCTAAAAAAATTAAAAACTCCTTAGTACTTTTCCTAAATATGATATGTGACACTCCAACGTGGTAGACCCAATTTGATTGAATTACTGCCTGTCTTCGCGTCACGCACCAAAAAACAATTAGTAAGAAATTCACGTCCCACACTGCGCGTGTTAAAAACAACTAAACTTTAAGAAATTACTAGTGCGCTTTACGAACAATGTGACACAGAAAACACCCCACCACCTTTCTCATACATAAAAATTTCTTAGTGTACTTTTCCTAAATGTGACATGTGACACTCCAACGTAGTAGATCCAATTTAATTGAATTACTGCATATCTTCACGTTACGCGCCAAAAAACAATTAGTAAGGAATTCACGTCCAACACTGCACGTGTTAAAAACAACAGAACTTTAAAAAGTTACCAGTGCGCTTTTTGAACAACGTGACACACAAACACCTCACCATCTTCCGCATACATAATCACGCCACATATCCCCCAACTGTACTAACAATGACAAAACAATCAACAATAATTTAAGGAGCCAATCAGCCACCAAAAAAAATATTTAAGACTTCATATATTACAAGTTTACAAAACGGCATTTACTGGTCAATTTCTCAATAATAAAAGAACCACAAGTATAATTGTGGTAGAAATTTGTATATAAAAATTATAGAGTGCAATGAGATGAATGTTTATTACAACGTCATACTAATAAAACGGTTTTAAAAATAATAATAATAATAATAATAATAATAATAATAATAATAATAATAATAAATTATAAGAATATTTTGAATGATACTTCTCAAATCAAAACGCCCTCGAAATTTTTGTTGTGCATGTTGGTTGGCTTGCAAAGCACTGGTAATTGAGTTTGTGAAAATAGATTAGAATCTACGCTTTGAGTGACAATAAAATGTATCAACTAGAAGATAGAGACAATACCCAACGTGAATAGGTCCAATTGCCACATTAATATGGTGTTTAGTTCATTGTCATGAAATAGAATAAAATTATCATTTTATCAAAATATTTGTTTTTATATTTGGTTAAACTAAAAAATATAATAATAAATGTATTATAAATGAAATCATCTTTCGCTATGTTAAGAAAACCCAAATCCAAATTCAACATCAAGTGGTGGGATTCTATCAACATTCAATTACAAACTCAAATCCCTAATATTTTTACACAACGTATTGTGAAATGTATATAAACACTAATTACAACAAAGACACAATACGCATTTAAATACATATACAATCAAACAAACACACAAATGTCATCTACTATATTGTGTATATGGATTAATGTCACACACTAAATGTAACATGCATCGTAACACGATCATCCAGATCCCAATGTATAATAACCATCCTACGACGTGGTTCACATTCAACATCCAATTAACAACCAAAACCAAATATCCACAATCCAATCCTTAAACTCATACCACCCCACACATCGAACATATCAAAACGCATCAACCATCACAATGTAAAATACACACATTCAATCAGAATATTGGCCAAAGTATGCCTATCAATGAGTGTAATAGATTGTCAATGCACTATTAAAGATGAACAATCCACACTTCAACAAATAGCAACACACTTCAAAAAAAAAAAAAACCCTATTCCTCTCAATCGATTGGAGTCGAAATCTATCAAAGGAATCAACACACAACCCTCAAATTTCATCATATCATCGACCATATACACATCCATTTAAGCAACATTTTGAAAATACACTGAAATCCCGCGATCAAGGCAAAAAAAACTCGCACGATCGTTGCATGTAAACTTGTCTTTTCTAAAAGTCTTCTGAAACGTAATATGATGAATAAGAAAACAAAGTACAATATGAAAACAAATTAGGGGTATAATAGTACTCTAATATCATTCATTTACAACTCATCGGACCTTATGGAACATATTCCTATTTAAATAAGACTTCAAACTCTAAAAGAATATTCATAGGACTTCACATTAAATAAGTCTTTCAAATATGACTTATAAATAATTTTTTCAAAAAATAATTATAAATTTGTTATGAGTTTGTAATAATTTTTAGAAATTATCCTGGTATGATAATTTTTCATTTTATTTATTTATTTATTTTGGTGGCCTAGGGTGGAGGGAAGGGGGTACGGGCTCTCTTCTATTTTGGGGAAAAAATAATTTTATAAGAATGCAACCTCTAAAAAATTACACCCTAATTGTGTAAATTCATATTCTAATAGTTTTTTGCTAAAAATTAGTAAAGTAATGTTAGAGAAAAGTGATTGATTCCCATAATTGTTTAATTGGATCACTTGATGAGTTTTATGAACCTAACCATCAACATTCATATAAGGAGAATGCTATTCTTTCATAATTTTATACAGAACCATTTATTAGAATGGTGTGGTAGTAACAATTATATTAAGATGTGTCATAGGTTTTTTTGAATAAAAGACATTTTCATTCCCTAAAATCACTACAAAAAATTAAAGTTTTAGAGGCTAAAATTTAAGGATAATATTATTTTTTAAGGACCAAATATTTTTGTTGCGAAAAGTACCGTTATTATATTTTTAGCAACAAAAATTAGACATTAGTAATTAATTATTATCCTTTTAGGACCAAATCTTTTGTCTAAAAAAATAAATCATTTTGAGACCAAATTATTTTGTCCTTAAAAATCTATTTATTAGGGACATTTTCAAAATTTTATCGCTAAAAGCTTTATTTTGGACTTTTCAGGATGACCTTTTAGTGACTATCATCATGACGATAGAAATTGGTCCCTAAATGTCTTTTGTAACAAAATTTTCACTTTTAAAGACCAAAACATTTGATCTCTAAAACTCTTATTTGTTGTAGTGAATAAGTGTTATTTGTTGTTTTAGTTCCTTAAGTTTCATTTTTGTCATTTTGATTTTCGAAATTATCAATTTGAGTTAATTTGATCCTATCTCTAACGTCCTTTTAAATTGAGAATGAGAAAAGTATTTTATCTTTGGTGAAAAGATGATTTTGGTCCCCAAAGTATGTATTCTTTGTCATTTTAGTCATTTGAGTTTCAATTTGGCCATTTTGGTCCTCAAAGTTGTCAATTTGAGTTAGAACCAAATTGACTTAAATTAACAATTTTGAGGAATATGACAAAAATTGTAACTTAAAGGACTAAAAATGGCAAGAAATGCATATTTTAGAGACTAAAACTGTCTTTTATTTATATTTTCGTTATTAATATAGACGGGCGTTAGATGTAGGACTAAATTGACTCAAATTAACAACTTTAAGAACTGAAATAACAAAATTAAAACTTAAGGGACTAAAAATGACGAACAACACCTACTTTAGGAACCAAAAGTGTCTTTTATCTCTTTTCTTCTTCTTTAAAAAAAAAAAAAAAAAAAAAAAAAAAAAAAAAAAAAAAAAGGGGAAAAAAAAAAATTACCCCCCATTTTTTTATATATATATTTTCTATATACATTTTCTATTATACCATTACACTTCATATAATTACACTTATAAAAAGTAAGTAGTATATCTTGATTGAGATTACTCTTTCATAATTTCTGATTGGGCCAACTGGCCTATACTAAGTAATATTTTAATGATAATTTAGTTAGTTTAAACTCGATTTGAATTTGTTATCTATAAATCTCTCTCTCTATCTCAAAACAATTACCAACACTAAAAACTAAAGATTGTTGACAAAAAGGGAATAGGTCAAGAGTAAACGTCTATGAGGACGATACTATGATCAAAGAACATAATTAGATGTAGACCTCACTTTTACCAAATTTGTACCAATTTCATGACATTGCTTTCATTTTTGTTAAAATTTTGCTTGTGATCAAAGCAGGTAGTATTTTTCATGGTAATGAATGATAGATGACTCACCATGATAGTAACCATCCATTTAGAGTTCATTAGGACAGACCATGAATGATAGATGGCTCACCAAGATAGTAACTATCTATTTAGAGTTCATTAGAACACACCAAGTATGCAAAACTAAACAAAGATGTCTCAATCTTGTATGTCCCTTTCTATTTGGTTCATTGAAATAAGATAAAATAGAACGGAATGTTGATTCCTTAGATTTTATTATAGAATAATCGTTTTCTTAACATAGTGAAAGATGATTCCATTTGTAATACATTTATTATTATATTTTTTGTTTAGCCAAACATAAAAATAAATATTTTGATAAAATGATAATTTTATTCTATTTTATTACAACGACCTAAACACTTATCTTAATGTAGCAATTGGACCAATTCACGTTGGGTGGTGTCTTTATCTTCTATTTGATACATTTTATTGTCACTCAAAGCGTAGATTCTAATCTATTTTCACAAACGCAATTACCAGTGCTTTGCAAGCCAACCACCATGCACAACAAAAATTTCAAGGGTGTTTTGATTTGAGAAGTATCATTCAAAATATTCTTATAATTTTTTTTTTTAAAAAAAAAACCGTTTTATTAGTATGACGTTATAATAAACATTCATCTCATTGTACTCTATAATTTTTATATAGAAATTTCTGCCGTAATTATGCTTGTGGTTCTTTTATTATTGGGAAATTGACCAGGATATCTCATTTTTGTAGATTTGTGATCTATAAAGTCTTAAATGTATTTTTGGTGACTGAGTGGTCCATTAAATTATTTTTAACTGTTTTATCATTGTTAGTACAGTTGGGGGACAGGTGACGTGGTTATGTATGGAGAAGATAGTGGAGTATTTGTGTCACGTTGTTCGAAAACCACACTAGTAGCTTTTTAAAGTTTGGTTGTTTTTAACACATGCAGTGTTGGACATGAATTCCTTACTAATTGTGAAGGCACGTTGTAATTCAATCAAATTGGGTCCATCATGTTAGAGTATCACATATCGCGTTTAGGAAAAGTACACAAAAGAATTTTTATTAGGAAAAGTACACAAAAGAATTTTTATGTATAGGAAAGGTGATAGAGTGTGTGTGTCACGTTGTTTAAAAAGCGCACTAGAAGCTTTTTAAAATTTTGTTGTTTTTAACACGCGCAGTGTGAGATGCAAATTCCTTACTGATTGTTTTTTGGCGCGTGACTGTGAAGACATGCAATAATTCAATCAAATTGGGTTTGCCACGTTGGAGTGTCACATGTCACGTTTAGGAAAAGTACACTAAGTTGTTTTTAATTTTTTCAAAATATCACAACATACCCGCCATGTTGTCACATTTAAAAAAAGTATACCAAAAAGGTTTTTTTTTTTTTTTGAGTGTCACATCATACCTACCATGTTGTCACATTTGGAAAAAGTACACTAAGAGTGAGTAAAAATTTTAGAGTGTCACATCATACCTGTCACATTGTCCCATCGTTGGAGTGTCGCATTAATACTTGCCACATTGAGCACCACACCATACCTGTCACACATTCCAAAAAAAAAAAAAAATTCTCAATTAACTAGTGAGGGTATATTTGTCTAACCAATACCTATCCACGTTTGAAAAAGATTTACTGGTCACACACTACATGTAACAAGCACTACTCAATCAACCATTTAAGACGTGGGACCAAATGATACAAATAAGGATTCCTCAATCAGCCATTTAAAATATGAAACCAAATGATACAGAAATTTCCAGAATAAGACTCTGCAATAAATCTCCCTTTATTATTTCTCCAATTGGAGTTACTCGCACTTTGTCGTCTCTCTGAGGGCTACTTTGGAAAGTGGGTTATAATCCGCTTCCCAGATTATAACCTACTTCATCTCTCACAAAAAAAGTTGCTTATAAGCAGTTTTTTACCAAAAAATTGATTATAACCATCTTTTCAAAATAGCCCAGCATTGGGCGTTTCTGAGAGTCGTTCAATATTTGGCACCAAAGTCAAGTACTTGAGACAAGCTGCTAATGGACGCTCGGGGGTAGAAAATGCGAAAAGGCTACCAAAGATGAATGAACCCTCACCTAATGAAATAACCTCACGCTAGTGCTACCCTTAAAAGGTTTTGACGGAGGTTAATCGCTCTTCCTGCAATTCTTAATTTTAATAAGAAAAGCACGAAACTAGGCTAAGGAAGGCAATAATGAACCGCAAGAAGTATAAAGTTTTGAAACCAGGATTCTACCACCGTAAAACTACACGCAGCTCTTTTCAAAATAAGACACAGAACTTCAGAGGTAGGCTAGAAAAGAAGGAAAGAGAAAGGCCAAGAGCGATATACGTTAAAGATGGAAGTGCCGCTCCCTTGTGTTTGAGGACGTTGGATGGTTGTTCCACTTGCTTTTGAAGCTTTATCAACATTGGGACGGGCTTTGAAGATCAGTGTACAAGAGCTTATTTACAATTGATCACATGCAACTCTTCTAGCCTCTTGAGGCGAAGTCAACTGCTTAACCTGACCAATATAGGTAACGGTAGGTGTGATTAATCACTAATCTAATCTCAATAACTAAATTCCTCATCCTGACATTCTAACGTGTGACTCGCTGCCTAAACTTTTACTATAATTATCGAATAAATCTATTTTTTTTTTATTAATATCTATACGATCAAAAAATGTGAACTGAGATCAAAATAGTGATCCAAGGGACTGAATTGGTAGTAGCAGTGCTTTTGTAACTAAAAGTTACATTGATGTGTTCTTTAAAAGAACAATAATACTATACAAATTTTATAAAATTTAAAAACTTCATTTTTTTCCTTAAATGTTCCAATTAGATTAGTGATTTGTGTATCAAATTTCAAAATTACATTATTACAAGCTAAATATATGAGACAATTTTATTTGTTTGTTTACAAAGTTTGTGTAATATTTTTGTATAATCCAACCACACCATTAGGTATTAATCAAGAAACCAGAGAAAAGACAGAATGTGATAAGATCACACATTCATTGATACAACTCATAAATTCAGAAAACACCTAGCCAGAAAAAAGCAGTTATGTGGGTGATAAACCAAATATAACAATCCTAACACACACAGCATCTGCAAAAATCAGACCGAACACTGCTTAAAAACTTCAGCTCCAGAATACCATTTGTAAATCACATTGTGTTTCATATAGGAGACCATTATGAATGAAGCATATGCAGATTGATCAGGGCAGGACAATTAGTCTGGTTCTTGAAAACTATAAAACAAAACAAAATGAACAAAAACTACATGAATACATACCATAGGATATAAATTTGTTGAGCTTACAAACATGAGTTTGTGCAAGCCAATATAGAATACAGGATGGATCAATGAATAACACAGAGGCCGCAATGAGTCACATCCGATACAACAGATATTTTTTTAAACATATACATTTTCACTGTTCTTATTCGATAAATCTCTCCTACAGCGTAAGCATGGAGAAGTACTGCTCAAACTCTTTATCAATGGTCAGTTTTTTGGGGCTCAGTGGAGTCTCTGCATTCAAAATAATCGAAATATTTCCACATTATTAAGGGAATAAAAGGAAAATAGAAAATAGGAGATCATCTTCTCAATTACGTAACTATATTACCTTGGTTGACACTCCATCTTCCGGATGAAAGAACATAATTATTTGGAGACGGCTCATCGGAGCATAGCATATCTTCAACTTCCTTATCTGTACATTCCTCAATGTTTTCATTTCCAAGTTCTAAGCAATTGAAATCTATGTGGGTCCCATATTCTAGGAGGTGCTCATCGAAATTCAAACATGCGTGTGGTCCAAAATCATTATGAGGAAAATTATGGTCTCCGCCAATATATGGTTGTTGGACTCTGTCAGCACCGGATTTTGTAAATGATCTGCTCTCCAAAGAATAGAGGCTATTCTTGAAAAACTCCAACTGAATTTTAGCTTCACCAGATATAGACATGGCAGAGTCTGAGTTTCCACCAAAACTATTGCTATCTTGTGCTGACTCTAGTTCTGATTCACTATCTCTTGCCCCAACAACAGTTTTACCCTTGCTTAGGAGTATGTTAAAGTCTTCTACTCTCAGGTTTTCATTAGATTGAGACTCTGAACTAGAGGTTCGATCCCAGCATTTATGCTTTGGGAGAGGCAAGCTTGATTGCCCAGCTTGAAATTTTCTTTTCTTGTTCAGGTAAACGAAGCTGGATTGCAGTACTTTGTTGACATCAGCACTGCAGTGACAAGTAAAAGGTGAGGAAAAAGTCGACATTTAATGATAAACTATGTCGGCAATAATAATTTTGGCAATACTTTAAGGGGCCAAGACTCGAGAATGAAACGTCAAGAAAAGAAGTGCATAAAAATTCAATCCTCTCTGTCATCCCACCTTGGGTTTTGAAAGTTAAAGATGATCGAAATTTGGCACCATTTAACAGTTAAACATGAATGGAAAGACAATAAGTATTAGTAAATCTCTGTTTAAAGATTGACAAACTTCTTTTGATGATAATATTTACCAAAGACGAGCAATTTTGTTTAGGTATTGAAGCATTTAGCTGCAAGCCTATTAAAGAAGGGAAAAAGAAGATTGTAGGCAAGGAAAAAGCATATCAATAGTGGAAAATAGTTGAAACTAAGTCCTGATTATCATATTTTCGGTCGAGTGAGCAGTGCTAACTATAAGATATATTTGTGTAAACCAGCTAGGAAGCAATATAATTCTTGGCAGCTGTATGGACTTGGGTTTGTGTGTCAGGTGCAACGCAAGGGCATTACGGTGTCAATTGATCAACTCTTCAAGTCTTAGGACACAGTGATGCAACTGAATTGTCAAATAGACCAATCTTTCTTCTTCTATGACCACAGCAGAATGTAATTCTATTTCCAAACAACACCAATATAGGTGCTTCATCCACCTTCAAATGGCCAGTAAATTCACCAATTCAGGTATTTTGTACACATATCTCATGCACACCCATACCCATTTTAATTATTTACTTTAAAAAAACAAAGAACCCCCTGACCCACCTTTGGCAAGACCAGGGGTAAAAAACCAGATATGTGCGACCACCCGTTAACCTCATATATCGGGAAGAAATATAGCTAATTTGTGTATTATGAATAGTCAGTGTAACTTGTAAGATCTCTGTCTTTCTCTCTCCAAACAAGAGCAACTCAAGCATTATTAGCACCATCATCAACAAAGTGAAAACTTCAGTGGAGTCCTTCCAAGTTCCAACTTATTCAAACCCCTCGCATCTCAACTACAGTTAGCAATCGATAAACAGCAACAAGTATATAAGTCATGAATTTTAACCTTCAATTACCCTTTTGTTTGTTTCCAACAAATTTTATTATTATCATTATTTTGGATCAGCAACAGAGGGGTTACTCCTGAAACAATCCTATAATTAAAATCATCAACTAAAAACCCTAAAACCCACCATAAGATAGGAAATTCGAAGTACGTTGCGGATCCAGCAGAGAGATTTATCAATTTCTTAAACTAGTAAACATCAAAGATGAAAGAATAGACTCAATAACTTGCTATTCTCTGCAAAAATTGTACTGAAAAGTAAAAGTTCAGACATGTAAATGTCAAAACCAGAGCATAATAAATCAAGTCAAATGAACAGTCGGTAAAAGCAAAGATTATTGAAAACCCAGAATCGAAACCTGTTAATTTCAGATGGGTCTCTGTCGTCTTCCTCCATAACACCGTCTTGAGTAGTCGATGAGATTAGGCAAGAGTGAGATAAACAAACAATTAGGTCTCACTGATTTAACCGACTCTACACTTGGTGAGTTTCATGCACCCAGTGTATCCAAACCTCCTATGATTTTTCACGTTCTCTCTCTATCCGCTCTTTCTCTCCCTCTCCTCTCGTCTTTTCCCTCTCCTCTTCCATCTTTTACTCTCGTCTTTGTTAAAACACCAAGCCCATACCTAAGGGGGTGCCCTCCACGATCATAGTATATAGTTGGCAATGGCAGCCCTCTGCCTTTACTAAATTGACCCTTCATTCAATCATATTTTTAAGTTGAGTTAAAATGTCATGTTTTTTTATTCATATGACGAAATTTGCCACATTAGTTGTACATAACATTTTTCACGCATCATTAAACATATTACGTTTTTGATATTAGGATTTAGCTCAATAATTTAATAATCACACTATAAAGCATAGTAAAAGAGAGGTTAAGAATTCAAACTAGGACTTTTCTTAAGTGTGCAACTTACACCTTACACTTACGTCTTTCTGTTTGTTGTCCTATTTTATATTTACACCTTCCACTTACACCTTTTGTGTTGGTTGCATATGGTGTGCAACCTTAAGGGATTGCACACCATAACAGTACCCTTCAAACTAATATGGTAAAAGCGAATCTTTTTAGTTATAATCTAATTATAGAAAAAGTTCAGAAGTTCGAGTTGATAGAATAATAACGAATCTATTCAATTGTAATTTAACTATATAAACTTATTAATGTCATCTTTGTCCCCAAAACAAAAAAAAGAAAAAAAAAAACTAATCTTAAGTTTTTATTAAAATCTCACTTTAGTTCTAATATTTTTACTGTGTTCTCTTTATAATTTTAGTCATTACGACTTCAATTAAGGTGTAAAAAATTAGTTGCCACAATTGAAAATGGAGAAGGTTAAGGTGAAAATTAGTAAATGTACAAGGTTCTAAGGGTAAGTAACCTTATTTTCAACCAATACATACGAGCGTGTCTCATGTTTGAAATTAAGATTGAACCATCCAATCTGGTCTATGGGCTTATTTTTGGACTTCTTTTTGATAATCTGAATCGTTCAATATGTAGAACTTGTCGAGTACTATATCTTTTCAAAATATCACATTGATCGGATATCGATATCTATTTAATCGTATCAGATTTGTATTTTTTTAAAAAAAAATAGACGGTGAAAAAATAAACGATTGACAAAAATTTGATCCAATCAAATAACTATTGATATCTGATCAATGTGATTTTTTATAAGAATATAATACTCAACATGTTCTACACATTCAAACGGTTCGAATTATCGAAACGGGACCCAAAAATGGGCCCATAGGCCAGACTAAACAGTCTAGTCTTAATCTCAAACATGAGACAAGCTGGACCCCAAAAAAATGAAAGAAAGAAAGAGGTGACAAAAAAATTTACTAATAATCCTCCCCTCCCCCCCAAAAAAAAAAATTTAATAAAATAAAATAAAATAGCAATCAAAATTATGATATCTTCTTTTATTTTAAATTCTCAAAATAAGAAATGATGCATTGAAGTTGTTAAACATTTTTTTTTTTTATTTCTTAGCCAATTTTAGGATTACCAAGGTTAGTCTCATATCAGATATTTAGGTCTTGTTTGGCAAGTGACTTTTTTAGTCAAAAAGTTAAAAAGTCATAAAAAAATTAAAAAATCAACAATTTATATTAAAAAGTAAAAGATTTCATTTTCTCTCTACTTTTTGCACATCTTTTCGTAAAAAATCAAAAAGTCATTAATTTTTTATATTATATTTTTGCCAAAAAATCAAAGAGTATGTTCCCAAACGAGACCTTAGTAACTCTCTAAATTCTCTCACAAGTAAGTGTAATTAGAAATTTTTTGTCACAAGTACAATTTAGAAAAAAAAAAATCTTTACAAATACAAAAGTTTGTATTGCTTTACCTCTTTATCTTTTTTACTTTTATTAAGACCTATTTTGGGAAGATGATTATTATCAATTTTTTGGTTAAAGGCTGATTATAATTAATTTTTTATGAGAGATGAAAGTGGATTATAATTTGGGAAGTGGATTATAACCCACTTCCCAAAAGACTTCTAATTAACAATCAAGTTCTTATTCTATTTTTGTTAAAAAAACAATTATATTCTCTTAGAGTATCTCAAACGGTACATTAAATTTTTCATCAAATTTGAGTAAAAGTTTTATTTGATATCAAGTACTTCAACGGAGATTTTTGAAGTTTCTTCAAAATATCTGTCGATCGGGAGAATGTCCGACATGTTGACCAGTCAGTATAAATTTTTCATAAATTTTTGCCTTTAGGTGTTCCTCCAGGGGGTCGACCGAGTGGACGACCGGGGTAGTGTAATTTTTTCACAAATTTTTATCTTGAGGTGGTTATCTGGGGACATCCAGAGAAACATTTGGAGAACATTCAGTGGTAAAAATCAAACGATTATGAACAGTGATTTAATGAAAGACACATTAATACTTAGTTTGATTAAAAAAAGTAAAATCTTAAATTTTATACTTATTTGATAAAACCGTTAAAATAAAATGCACCAATAAATCCCAAATTAATAACTTATGCACTGTTTAGTCCTAAAAGTTTTCTTATAGACTGAAAGGTCCCATTACAATTTTAATAACATCAGATACAATGTTAATGACATCAGAGTCATGTTACAAATATTGGATTTTAAACATCTAATGTTCATCAAATTTCAATAATGTTTGAAAATATAGGATGAAAAACATCTAATGTTCATCAGATTTCAATAAATTTTGAAATTATAGAATGGAACATCTGATCATTTACATCATTCACATCATGTTGATGTAAAAATGGGACTAAATGGAGCACAAGAAAATTTTTAGGACTAAATGGTTCAACGTTTCAAAAACTAGGACTTATAGGTAAATTTTTCAAAAATAAATTATTTTTTGTCAAATTTGAACTTGATGATAAGTTAAGTAGGGAAGATAGTCTTATACAAATTGGATAAACAGGGCGCGTGGGATGAGTTGGTTAAAAATTTAGTCGCTAATTAGGACGGAACCATCTTCAGGTCACGTGGGGTTAGCTGGCTACAGACACGTGGTTCTGTGGGCCCCTCGTCCCATGTTATTTACAAGTCCACCCGTCCCTAAAAAAGATTGGACCGTCCGATCCGTGTCCATGAGCCCGTACACAAATTCTATTTTTATCATCAAACTGATTTTTAAAATATTTTATTTATTTTTAAAAAAATTAAAAGTAATAAAATTAAGAAATTATAATTATTGGATCAATAAATAAAGACCTAAAATATTAACCAATTAATTTATTAAAATAAGACTAGGATAAATCTACAAACTTGGACTAAACAATCTAATTCTTGTTTTAGGATTAGACATGAACTAAATCTTTCAAAAATTAGTACGATAAATATGTCACTCTATTTATGTAGTGTGATGTTCTTCACAAAAGAAAATAGCAAAATACATTAGATCTTTTATCCATTAACTATCTAAAAGAGATGAGTCAATATTATTCTAAATAAAAAAATTCACTAGGTTATTAATAAAAGAATACCATGTAAATAATATCTCATGTTGTTTGAAAGTAGTTGAATAATTACCAATTTATTACTCAACTCCCACCCAGAATATTCTTATAAAAAATGTAATGGACTACGAAATAGGACACAAACACAATCAATGATATATATTCTTATATATAGTTAATTAATAACTAACCTAAAGTATGGGGAAAGAAAGGGTCGCCTTGCCTGGCTTGGAAGAAGTGGTACCAGCACCATGCTTAGCATCCACAGAACAAAAACAATAGTGTGCCATAGAATATGCCTCTTTATCATTAGGTGCTTCATCCATTACAACATTTTTTATGTCAATTTTTTCGTTATTTTTTTTAATTGGAATAAATAATACATTCAAGTGTATTTAGAGAAATTACTAATAAAAATTACACATGATTATTGAAAAATAATTTTAAAGAGAATCTCAGAGAATTAATGACAAGTTTCATATCGACCTAATCAAACTTGTCGAGACCATTTAGAAATAAATTCCGGCTAATTTGTTTTTTTAAATTAAAAAAAAAAATGAGTCCGAAGTTAAGCAATGAGTTGCCACCCCAAACCAACTTTCCTGGTAGGTTTCAAATATTCAAAAGCACATTCAAGTACTTTCACTCAAATCAAAAACAAAAAAGCACTTCCAAAAGAATAAGAATGCTGGAATGAATAACAAATTGCATTAACCACAACAATTTTCAATTTTGCAAAGTTACAGTAGTTACAACTTTATACTTTTGATCAATTGAGATTTTGGTGGGTTAAGTGGGGATCGCAATGATTCCCTCTTTGTACATGAGATGTATCAGCAGAAGGTAATGATCCTAAACTCTACATTATCCATATAATCACCAGACACACGTACCTCTATCTGAATGTATCAAAAACTCGCTACCCTCCTTGATTGTGAACAATAGTGGGAAAGCAAAGGGTGTTCGTGGCACTAATCTCATTATCGACCTAACTTGCATCAGAAAGCTTTAAGAAATACAATTCTGGTAGTATTTACCAACTGATAATTTGTGCCTTTTCTCCCTCTTCAACTTCTCAAGAACAGTGTACAAGCAGCAAAATTTGTAAAGGGAACGCCAGAGACTTCTCTATCATTCTCTTCACAGTTAAAAAACCAAAATTTCCCAACCAAACAACAGTGCAACTCATTTTGATGCTGACGCACTCATTTTCTCATACGCTGTCCGGAAGCGAAGACCAGAGCCAATATGCCTTGACGTGGGAAATGCCCAGCAGAGGATGTTTGGACCCAGCGCCTGAAGCAGTTATGAATAAGCAGTTACGGCAAAAAAATTAAGTAACCAAGAAATGTTAAAGAAAACCAGTATGACTTCACAACAATCTATTGGTTTCCAGGCAATAAATTTGAGAGGTCTCTGACTACAAGTTTTTTACTAGTAAGTAGTAACCACGGTCATCTGGTCAACCAAATAGGTTTGAGACATTGATACTCAGTCAGTGAAACACACTCCTCCTCAGTCACTGAGAAAATGGAGCGATTCCAGGAAAACAAGAAAAATAGAGAAAATAATTCTTTACCGAATTCAGATTTTCATAAGCACCAAGATCATAAGGATGTGAATAGACATCCCCTCCTTTCTCTGCAAGCCACATAGCTCTCACTCCTTCATGGTACTGCAAAAGCATAAAACAAAGCAATCATGATCATAAAAATGGTTTGGCCATCAAACAAATGATCAATGAGCCAATGACAAATAATGCCAATTTCTTCCAACCTCTATTGTGGTCTTATTTCGCAAAATGAGGTAGATATGCCAACCCAAAAGAACGCTCAGAGCCACACTTAATGGGACAAGCAGCAGCCCAGAAATGACCTGGAAATGGAAAGTGATAATTAAACTGACTTATATGAGAGAATGTAACGCAAGCCAGATAAATAGACTGTCGGTGATATTACATATATAGTTCTGAAAGATCCTTCACGCTCATCTTTTTCAGAATCATTCATCAGACTGCCCAGAAGCAAAACCTGAAAACATAATATAGAAAAAGTTACTTTCTTGAGCTTTTTCCATTAATCAAACTAAGCAGCTAAAAACAATTAACAAAATTTTTTATACCCATTACGCATAACATAATTAAAATGCATCAGGAGGCATAGATGAATGCAGTCATAGCATAGATAAAACAATCAAAAAAATTTTTACATTGGGGGATAAAGAGTCAAACATACCAGCGAGTAAATGCATGCAATTACAGCATACAGAACGAAAACGAAGAAGACCTTATAGTTTGCGTGTCCCACGCAATTGTTCATCCATATGCAATGGTGGTCCTTACATTCAAAAGGCAGCACTCAAACACATTACACAGAATATTTGAGAAACTGCACCAAGTATAAAATTAATCATGCGTACCATTCGCAAAACACATCTTTTACATACACGGCAATGATGTGCACGGGGTGGCTTGTAGTGAGAACACTTCTGGCAGTATCTCAAATCCCCACCCTGTGAAATCAACTCGACATAAAAGTCAGTCTGCAAGAATCAAATATCAAGCTTCGGATAACTAATTCCAACTTCAGATTAGTGTCATTTAGTTCTATTTTTATTAATTTAATTCATGTAATTCACAATATTTACAATATTTATTTATTTTATTCCCAGTTCAGTTACAATGTGAAACAAAGGAGCATTTCAATTCAATTTCAAAATGCCTTGCAAGGTTTTCACTATTCTTAAAAATATTACTACACCTGCAACTTGCATGACTTCAATAAAAAGCCCAAATACCCAAGACCTAATTTCAAAATCCCATTTTTTTAGCAGGTTTCCACAGTTTGATACATACAAAACAGCATCCACCAGGTGACATAAAAAGGGGTGATGTGACAGGACATCTCAACATAGAAGGCTTAAAAACACCTTCTACTTGATTTTGGTTAGCTACTAATTTATTTTTCAGTCATAGGCCAAACCACTTCAAGATACTTGAAATTATGGCCATTAAATTTCTACATGATTCACATCCCAGCAGCAAAGACTAGCGCGACAAACTTGATTACTACATTCTCAAATCAATACCAAAGGGGGATCAAAATAGGCATATCATCAACCAATGAAGTAGTATTTCAATCAAATTCTTCTTGTACCTTTCGACTTATAAAATAAAATGAAAACAAAACATCATAAAAATTTGTTTTGTCATGTCAAGAATCAATATTTCTCCTAGCAGGGACCAAGTCCAAAAAAATAAGAATGGTTGTAGTAGAAGAGAGCCTCTGTAAGGCGTCTAATCCCATCTTATGATCATATGATATATCCAAGCAAACTAAGGCTTTTCAATTGAATTGAGTTGAGTAAAATATCATAGCAAAATCACTTCAATTTGAAATCAGAAGACACCCAATTCTTGAAATACATCAGCGGAAAGTTAAGGTGGTTCATTTGACAGTAATGTAACAATCTTTCACAAATTCCCATAACAAAAAACAGTATATATATCAGAAACCCATGTCACGGCGATTGTCCCAGTGACGAAACAACATTGAATTTGTCACCAAATCAATAATTGAATAGAGTAATATGAAATTTTATTCTCACAAGAATGAATTGGTTAACACAATCAAGATCACCCAAGAAAACAAGATGAGCTCAGATTGAAACAATTGCGAAATAACGCATCCAAAAACAAAAACCCTAAGAGCGAAGAACGAGGAAAAAAAAAAGGGAAAAAAAGTCAACGGCACCGGAGGGGAGTTGAATGAAATACCTTGCGCTTGATCTCGTGGATGGGGTTGTCGGCGTCCTCGACGTCGGGCGTGAAGGTGTCGGGGACCCGACCCGGATCCTTGTAGACGGCGGCAGCGTAATTGAAGGAACACATGAGAGCGAGGGCGGTGAAAACGACGGCGTTCATGATCCCGGGAGAGGACCCGAGGCCGAACCACTGGTCCACGAACACGAACACCGTCGAGACGTATATGTAGCCGATCGCCGTAATCACAACGGTGACGGGTAGAGAGAATCGGCAGCTCTTCTTCATTTTGATCGGAAGGCTGGAGGAGATGGGATGGAGAGGTGGTGGTGATGGTGGTGGTGGAGTGGTATCGGAGCCACCGGCGTAGGGAGCTTACGACGGCGTCTCCGGCGGTTGGGGGGTGAAAATGAAAGGGAAATGGGGGGGTTTGGTTGGTTTGGGAAATTTTGAGAGTTGTGGGGGGTGGAGAGGGTGGCGGGTGAGTGGTGTGAGAGAGGGTCCAGGAAATCTAGATGGTGGTGGCCTCTCAATTTTACTATTATGGGCTTCTCTTTTGCTTTGCTTTCCTTTTACGATTACATTATTAACATATTTTTTTGGAAATAAATAAAATATGGAGCTCTGCTGGGGACCCAGCGGGATGACTCCAGCACCCCATCTCCACGTAGGTGGCTGTGGAAGTCTTCAAAAAAAAAAAGAAAAAATGAAAAAAAATTCACCAATCAAAAAAACAGAGAGAGTGGTGGGGTCTAAATCTTTTATGTAAAATATGGGAATAAATTGTATTGGATAAATTACACTGACACTCTTGAAATTTATATTTATTATAATCTTTTCACTTATTTTTTGAAAATTATATTTTTCTCTTGAAATTTAAAATTTTATTATAGATTCTCCCTTCAATAATTTAATTTTTCTGAATACTAATTTTACCTTTATTGGGTAAATTACATTGACACCCCCTCACATTTTAGAAATTACAATCCCCTAAGGTTTAAAGTAACATTACCAATTGCCCTCTCGGTTAGTATTAGTTAAAAAAAAAATTAATTCGAAAAAAAATTTTGAAAATTTTTTTTTGTTAGCAAAGTTTTTAAACTTTTATTTAAAAACCAACATAAGCTCATTTTTTGAATTTATATTTTTTCTTCAAATTTACAAACTGAGACAATTATTCATAAACCAAAAAAATTATCAAACAAGTTTTTATGAGAGTTTTTTAAATTTTTGTAAATATAAATTGAAAAGTGAAAACGAAATGGTTACCAAACAGGCTTGATGGTAAAAATGTCGTAAAATTAACAAATAATTAAATAAGTTACCAACATAAGAAATGACTTATCAAAAAATTCTTAGACTATGTATGGTTTGATTTTTAAAAAAAAATTAAAAATTAATTTGGTTAAGAAATAAAAAATAAAAAAGTAAAAAATATTATGTGTTTAGTGGTACATGGCTTAAGAATTTAGTATTTAGGCTGTATGGTCTGATAATTATTTTTTATTTTTTATTTTTTTTAAAAAAATCAAAAAATTAAATTATACATAACCTAAAAATCTTTTGATAAGTCATTTCTTACGTTGGTAACTTATTTAATTATTTGTTAATTTCACAACATTTTTACCATCAAGCCTGTTTGGTAACTATTTCATTTCAGTTTTTAATTTATATTTTTAAAAATTAAAAAAAAACTCTCATAAAAACTTATTTGATAATTTTTTTTGGTTTATAAAAGGTTGTCTCAGTTTGTAAATTTGAGGAAAAAAACATAAATTTAAAAAATAAGCTTATGTTGGTTTTTAAACAGAAATTTAAAAACTTTACTAACAAAAAAAAATTTCAATTAATTTTTTTTCAAATAATTTTTTTTTCAAATAATTTTTTTTCCAATTAATTTTTTTTTCAATGAATTTTTTTTCCAACTAATACTAATCGAGAGGGCAATTGGTAATGTTACTTTAAACCTTAGGGAGGGGATTGTAATTTCTAAAATGTGTGGGGTGTCAATATAATTTACCCAATGAGGGCAAAATTGATATTTAAAAAAATTAAATTGCTAAAAGAGAAAATCTGTAATGAAACTTTAAACCTCAGAGGGTGTTAGTGTAATTTACCCAATTGTATTTTAGTTTTTTTTTTTAAAAAAAATTGCATTTTAGTTGCTCGCCTGAAAAATAATCAGTATTTGGTTTTAATTTTTTGAATTTTAATTTTAAGAATTTGAGTTTTTTGTTTTATATATTTTTTGTTTTAAAATTTTAAGTAATGTTTTTTTTTAGATGCACTTTACTTAGATGTATCTATAAAGTAAAATATTTATGAAAAAATATTTTAAAAAACTACTAAATACACAAAATTATGAAAAATGTACTGCATTTTTATATATTTTTATAATTTTGGTGTTTAGTGATTTTTTTTAAAAAAAAATCATCAATATTATACTTTTTAAGTATATTTATGTTAGGTGTGTCTAAAAAATTTTTTAAAAAAATGCTTAGAATATTTTAAAAAATTCAATGAAAACAACAAAATACTAAAAATAACAAAATAAAATTTCTGAAAAGTGAATTTTGAAAATCAAAACCAAACAGAATGAATAATATTTTTATGATATTCTTTATATATAGTGTAAGTCTTTTATGTGTTTGGTGTAAAACTTTTTTATGTGTCAAATTTATAAAATAAAAAAATATATTTGAAAACTGTTCTATTTTTTTTAAGGATAATTACATTGACACTCTCTTAGATTTGATTTAATTACATTTTACCCCTAACGTTCTAGAAATTACATTCATACCCTTGTAGTTAATAGTCTCATTTTATAAATCACTTACTTGTATAAAAGATAACAACTCCAAGTAAAAATACAGAGAAAATTACATTGAAAAAAAAAATAAAGCAAAGAAAAAAAAAAGTAAAGCAAAGTAAGAAAAGAAATAGTGCATGAGTTCAATATTTTCATCTCGTCTAAATAATTACAATGATAGGAGAGTTAGTGTAATTTCCTAAACACCGGGGATGATATGTATTAAACTCAAATATCAGGAGGTGTAAGTGCAATTTACCTATTTGTAATTTGTTATTCTACTATAAAAAGGGAAAGATTATGATACACAACTCTCAAATGGTATATATCATATGCATTTTATAACTAAATAAAAAAAATGTCACAACTTCATATTTTCTAAGACTTAAAATATATATATATATATATATATAACCAAACACTATGTGAGGCATAAAAAAACATATTAAAATAATGTCATAACTAAATAATAAAATTGGGCATAATTAAATAATAAAATGACATAACTAAAAGTGTATATAATATGTTAATGTATATATTAGATTTACATTTACATTTATCTTCTTGTATTGTCGATATAGCTTATCTCTATCTCCTTCTATCTATATCTCTCTGTATCTCTATCTCCTTCTATACTTATTTAGGTTTGTGTTCAGCCTATAAATACAGGCTCTCCTATTGTATTCTATTCAATATTATTATACAGATACACAATTCTCATATTTCTTTCAATCATTCTAACATGGTTTCAGAGCTTAGGTCTTCAATCCTAGCCCATCTTTTCTCCTGCTCATTGCCTGTACACAGTGGCATTATAGCATCTCTCTTCTGTTTTATTAATACACCATTCTTTGCTCCACAACACTGTTTCATCATCATTTTTTACCAAAATTTTATAAATTTTTCATCAAAGTGCTCGGAACTGTGCCCTAGTTCCAACGCCACCAGGCCGGTCGCCAAACTTCTCTGCATACGCCTCACACGCCTATTTTCTCCTCGACGCATCCAGCCTTCCGCCTCTACTCTCGCACGCGCCAAGACGCCTCCCTTCGTGCACTTACATACGCCGTCCTGAAACCGTGCACCTGCATGCGCCATCCAACTACCATGCACCCGCGTGCGCCATCCTACTATCATTGTAACGACCCCATCACGTATAATGATTAATACTTAATTAATTAAGGAGATTTGAAATTTAATTGTTAATTATTCTAATTTAATCTGAGATTTAAGAAAAATTATGAGGCTGATTCGTATGTGATTCTACTAAGGATTTATTTTAGAATTAGAAATTGAAAACCTAAATGGCTGAAGATAGTACACATGGTGAATTGAATTATTTAATTTCGAATATCGGACCGTATGGGAGTTTAAATTAAATATTCGATTCAGATTTAGTAAAATTGGGATTTGATTAATTGGGTCCGAATGGAAGTTAATTAAATTAATTAAGTTATGAGGGTTGAGAATTACGATTAGTTTAAATTAAATTTACTTATGAGGTGCCCAATACGTAATTTATTGACGAAGATTTTGAAGTTCAAGCTAAAATTGAAGGCCTTAATGATTTGAGAAATCAAAATTGATGATGGCGATAAGTTTAATTTAATATTTGGAGCCTTCGAAAGTTTGATTAAAATCTGATTCAGAATAGTAAAGATTAAATATAATTAATTGGGCCTTATGAAAGTTAAATTAGACTAATTAAATCATGTAGGAATTGTAATTAGTTATGATTAATTAACTTATGTGCTAATTATGATTAATCAAGACCAAGTGCTACTTAATTAAACTAATGTGTGATTAGTGTACTAAACGAATTCTAGCATACCACCACATGGGTTCACATTATTAGGACAAGTGTCCCACTAAAAAAATATATATATATATATATATATGAATGAAGTCTTAGGAGCCTTCAACCTGCTGGAATCAAATTAGAGAAAGAAAGAGAGAAAGAGAGCATGGCTGAGAGACCAAGAGGAAGAAAGAAAAGGAAAGGAGAAAGCCTTCTGGGTTATCAAAACTCAAGCTAAAAATTATGAAAAATTCATCATAAGTAAGGAATTCCATTTTTTTTTTTGGGGTATTGTTTAATTAATTTAGACAAAAAGTGATTCAAGATGATTTTTGAGGGAATTAAAAATAAAACTTTGTAGATCAATTATAAATTGTTAAAATTTGGGTTTGCATGTAAAATCAAGTTAGGACCAAGAGTGTGAATTATGATTTCTTAAATTTGTCAAACTTGGGTTTAATTTCATGTAAATAGAAGAAGTTAGCAAAATGATGAATAAATGGAGTTATGTTTAATTTATGGAAATAAGTTTAAAGAGTGATTAGTTGAGTATGATTCTTGTTATTCTTCATGAAGTTGAAACTCATCCTTACATGTATGTTGGAATTTCAATCGTTTAGACTTTAATTCATGAGTGAAAGGCTTATAAGTTTAAATTTAAATTTGGAATAGATATGAATAAAATTAAGCTAGGCTCATGTTTATGGAAAATGAGACATTGATTTGATTTTGATCTCTAACCCATGCATGCAATATAATGAAAGAGTTTTATTCAAAATCTAAATATGTTATAGAACATTTATGATTATGAATTAAGTTTTGGGTGTGATATGAAGAAAATTAATTAAATCTAAATTTGGCTAAATCAAGAATTAAATTATGATTTGATTTTGAATATAGAAAATTAGTTAGTTTTAATCTTAATTTCATTCATGCAAATACTTTCCTAT